TGTGTGTGTGTGTGTGTGTGTGTGTGTGTGTGTGTGTGTTTGTGAGCGTGTGCATGCGCACACATACTGTATGCACGATTGTGTTGTTTGGCGCAGACGGTGAAGATGAGGTGCAAAGCGATAAACTTTGGTTCTCGTGAAATCTTGCGAAGGCCTGCGGAGTGCAGCTGAGTCATGGGAACCGATCTCGGGAGGTTCGAGTTGACAGTCGAAAGGGGAGAAATCCTCTCGATAGGCACGTCCAGGCTGTACGTGAAACTCGAGTATGGAACGCAGAAGCAGCAAACGGACCCAGCAAAGAGTGAAGGTGGGAAAGTTTGCTGGGCCAAACTGCTCTACTTCCAAACCCAGCGTGCCATCCGTGTAACATTTAATGTTTACCAACGCAACAAGATGTCTGCTGACTCCCTAGTGGGCTCAGGCAACCTCTCCCTAGGATCGTTGTTCGACGCTGGAGTTCGTGATGGGCTTGAGGAAGCCGTGAAACTGATCAAAGACAAAAAAGAAACGGGTTGTCTTAAGGTGCAGATTGAATTTGTACCTGTACCGGTTCCTGTACCTGATCCAGTACTACCAGTAGTACGAGATCCTCTACCTTTCCCTGCACCATCGGATTGGTCCACGTACATTCGGGATTGGATAGCCAGATCTCCGAAAATGGAGCAGCCTCCACTGGGAGCACCTCTGGTACCTGCAGCACATCCACCTCTGGTACCTGCTGCTCTGTACATTCAGAAAGTTGAACCGGGAAAGGAGGAGGCATTTTATCCGCCTGCAAGTCGTGCACAGACCGCGGACCTGTGCAGCGCCCCGAAGTTGTACCCGCCGTCATCGGCTACAGAGCTGCACGACAACTTCGTCGAGCCCGGGCGTCGCCATAGCTTTCCCCTCGCAAGATTTGCAACCACTCCAGGTCCCACTCCGGCCCATCCGGTTCCACTGCATCGTCTCGTTGACCAGAAACTCAGCATTGTTAATAATAATAATAATAATAGTAATAATAATAGTAATAATAATAAATGCTGTCCCTCCAGTAAGGACTTAGTACCTGTAAAAAAGGCTGTAATGCTTCCTGGACCAGGTTCTGGACCAGGTTCAGGACCAGCGCATGGTGGTGACAGGGCTCGCTGTGCTCATCGTCTCAGTGATAGGGGTCCCGTTGCACCGTACAGCTGGATGTCCGCAGGATTATCTTGAACTTCCTGACTATGTTCAGGTTCTAGTCTTTTTTTTTTTTTTTTTTTTTTTTTTAACCACAACCCCCTGTCAGTTTCAGTGCTGCTGGTAAGGCAGACACCACTAACACCCGGGGAGGGACTCCTCCATCTATTGGTGGGGAGCATCACCTGCTGGAAAACGGGTCCAGCATCCCTTGTACAGAAAGAAACATATCTGAGAGTGACTGAAGGATGTATAGTTTTGCTTACTACCTAATTCCCCCAAATACAACGTACGCTCATTATAGCTGTATTTCATCCATCTTTCAGTCTAGATACAGCTATTAAGGACGGTCGGTTGTATTCGGCGGGGGGAGAAGGTAGAAGAAGACGAGTACTAGCCGTAGCTAGGTAGCAAATCAAGAAGCGATCATCGGCGGGAGCACCCCACCGATATGGCTACCTTAGGCTAGTTAAGGGGTGCATACAATTTTATGTGATGCCTGACATTGCCTGTTGATGATCAGAGCTGAAGCAGTCGGGGATAGCTTCGGTGCAATGATGTCCGGGGTATACTTCCTGTTTAGAAAATTTTGAAGTCCACGAATAGATCGGAGCCATAGACCTCTTGAAAAAAAAAATAAAAAAAATGGTGGACGGGACATCCAATTAAATTGGAACGATCGAGAGAAGATTAGCATGATGGGCCATTGGGCCCTGTGCAGAGGGATGAATGACATGCATAAATCGGGGAAAATGCTGGCCAGCAGGGGCGCAGCCGGCTGCCATTCCCTAGCCTAAGGTAGGTGGTAGTATTTCGGACTACCAACCAGGGACTCAGTCTAAGGGGGGGGGTCTAAATGTATGTGCTCTTCTCTGTCCTAGATCATTTCTGGACTCTGGAGTAGGTCCGGTAAATAAATATTGGCTGCTTGCAGTATCTTTTTTTTTTTTTTTTTTTACACGCAGTATCTTCTTAATATATGTAACATCCCCGTTCTTCTCCTTCTTTTTTTTGTTTTTTTTGTTTTCCGTCAAATTTCTCTGATAATCAGTATTTCTTCGTCTGCAATAAATCGTAGGTACTGTACCTGTTTTTTATTCAAGGAAAAAAATTCAAAAAATTAATACCAGTGATTATTGGCTCTGATTGGTCTTGCCGCAGCTGCAATATTAATAGATCGGATTATAGATCCTAGCAGCGCTTCCCCGCACCCACCATTCTGGCATTCTCTGTCTCTCAGTTATCGAAGACTTTTTTTTTTTTTTTTTTTTTTTTTAAATGCCCCCTTCAGTGCGAAGACTTAATATTTCGGATCTAGCATTCTATCGAAGCCTTTTTTCGGTTCTAGTATTGTATTAATTTAAAGTTTAATAATTAAACCACCTCTTTTTTTTCTTTTTTTTTTTGGGGGGGGGGGGGGGGCAGTTCAATTTCTTAGACTTGCTGAGTTGGTTGGGAGCTGTCGGCTGTCAGTTGACAGGCCTGAAGAAATGGTGATTTTTTTATTTTTATTTTTAACCCACACAATCGGGTGCCCCCTCGATTCTGGGTGGCGTCAGTTAGGTGGGGATATTCAAGTTCATCTGATTATCCAATTTGTATGGTGAGGCTGCTCACACCACGGTAGGACTTTTTCGACACAGCTCTGGACATGATGAAGCAAGAAGAGAGTTTTCGGATGGAAGAGGAACAGGATGCGAGACTTTTGCGAGTCATCAGAGGCGAGATGAGAAAGGATAGTGAGGACAATTATAGCAGAAGTAACACTCGCCGGAAAGGTACTAAGATGAAGTCGATGGAACCGTCTGAGTCTGCATCAGAGGAGAAAGAGCGCCTGCGGAAGTTCCTTGCGCTTTGCGGGAAGTTCAACATCGATGACGACGATACCAGCGATGAAGAACTGAAACTACTACTACAAAGGACTGCTAAGCCGCTGTTAAAGTCGGTGATCAACGAAAAACGGAAACGCGGGCCTGAAGTGAACATCGGGAACAGCCCACCAATGGTGACTCCTGAAAAGAAGGCGAGCACGAGACCGTTAGAAGAAACGAAGACCACGATCGACGAACTACGCAACACAAAAATCGGACTCAAGGACCTGGGCACGCCTCGTATGATAGATTTATCATTGAAGCACATCTCGGCGTCTCTCGGAGTCGGTGGGAGGGAGAAATTCGAACGGGAGTGCTGCGACTTCTATGATGCCCTGACAATTGACGAGCTGAAGGTCCGTGAAGGATATATGCCATCGGGAAAAACTGCCATATGGCAAGAGGGAGCTCCAGCTCGCAATCAAGAGGCTAGTGATTAGACGGTCGGCCGTTGCTTACGACTCCGCCTATCTGCCACAGTGCCACTACCAACTGCAACGACGAGGAAAGGGAAGTGACTGTCCAAGAGCATCTGCTCCAAGGAGGTACCTGAGGACAGTTCGACCGAAGACAGTGAGTCCGAAGAGGACGATGAGGATGCGGAGTGACGAGTACGTGAGGTAGGAAACTAGCTGAGAACACGAGTGAAGACCAATTAAAGAAGAATGGCAAGAAGAGAGCGGATGAACGAATTATGCGTGCGTCGGTGATCAACTTGATTCTGGCTGGCGAAGTGAAGTGGGGCGAAAAGTCTGTGGAATATTGGGATCAAGCAATCGAGACTGGAACATTCAACCTGGCGACACCGAAGAGCTGCGTGTACGTCTGATGGTATAAACAGGTTTACATTGGAATGACCGAACGCGATCTGTGGGCGAGGTGGAGGGAACACTTTTGCCATGGGAAGACCGGAGGCTGTAAGAGGAGAAGGAAGTTATATAATTGGTTAAACAAGGTTGGTGCGCATAAATACGAAGCCGTTCCGATATTTGTGAGTGAATCCAAGTCAGAGCTGCTAGCGGTCGAACGAACGTTGATCAAGCGATGGTCTCCGTCGTTGAATTCCAGACCGGCGAACAACAAGAAAGGTGAGAAGAAGAAGAGAAGAAGACGTGGGAAAAGGGAGAGAGGTAAGGAGAATGGAGGTAAGACACCAGGTAACGGTGGTTTTCGAAAATTCGGTGGTAGGATCGTAGCCATCGGCGAGGCTAGTACAGATGGTGAGACTGGAGATCGTGGTGAGACCGTCAACATGGTCGAATCTCTTAGAAAGGTTGTTCGGGAGAAGGAGAAAAAGGACATAGTGATCCAGAGTGATGGTGGTGACATCGGGGCAGATGGATGGAGAGTCGTGAGAAGATTATTTGGAGAGACCAGGGTGAAGGTGGGTCAGGCCGTCAGGGGACGGGAATCGGTGAGCTCGACTGGATGCCGGATATCATCAAGAACGCCAAGAATGTGCCGAGGAACGAACAAGGACGGAGAAGAAGTCAGATGAAACTCGAGATTGAAGAAGCATTTCGTACATGGGAGCGGGAACTAGGCCAACAGTGTGGCGAAGTGATCGTTAACAGAAGTGAAGTCGATCGCTGTTTTGTAGAGGAGGATTCTGGGAGGTGTGGGGGAAACCTGGAAGACGTGATGATGGTGAAGTCCCGATTACAGGGGCTGGTACTAGCCCCCCTGGACCGTAATCCAGGCGATGCACTGGTACTTTGCCCTCATCTGTATGCGAATGGCATCGAGGAATTCAATCCCTTTTTTCTGAACAATGGATGCAGATTGTGCGAACAAAGTGAGAAAGAAGAGTTGAAATTGGCGCAAGTTGAGTTTGAACGACAGGATTTGGGAATGCATGGTAAGTCACTGTGGAACACCAGCTGTAAGATTGGGAATGCCTATGCTTTGCCTAAGCATAAGGACACGGCCAGGTTCCGACCGATTTGTCCTACGTTTGATGCATGCAAGGAAGTTGCACAAGCAGTGAATTGTTTGCTGTATGTGCTACCCGAGTCAAGCAACTTCAATCTGAAATCAGTGGCACAGATTCGTACATGCTGGTTTCATGTTTGAGTGTTGCTGATGACTGCTCATGCGGTACATGTTGTTGGTTCCTTCTGGACGTGATTTCGGCCAGAGGCATCCAGTTGCTGTCATAATTGCGCTCAGATACATTCAGACAAGTGCTAGTGTGAGTAAGCCCTAAGTGAGTAGACCAAAGTCTGTCGATCACTCAGACTTTCATACAGCGCTGGCTGAAGTATAACCCCCCCCCCTCCCTTTATGTAAAAATCCGAGCTTGGGGTTCTTGAACGTCACGACCACATCACCTCACTCGTTTTTCAAAGTGATGGCTTCACGCCTTATCATAAACCCAGCATTTATGTTTTACGCGAGCAACGCAGGCTTTCAGAGTCTGGACAAGGACAGCAGGGCGATCCGCGCTCCAACCGGACTATGCCCCGGGTTTGGCACAGTGCCGATTTGGCAAGTAGTACTGTGGTGGGTGGAAGGATGGATGCTCCAAAGGAGGGAATCCTCGTACCAGCAAGTACTCAAAAAGAGGTTGAAGAGGATGCTTTACAGGCAAAGCCTGTATGTGCTGGGGATAAGTAACCAGACTGGCGTCCCCAAGAATAGACGGACCCGGGCTGATATGTGTTTGGGTTTTAAAAAAAGCCAAAGGCCTGCAAGCCACGAACTCTGCGGCTAGCTGAGATAGTAGCATGGCGTGCCAAGCGTCTGGATTCTGGAGGAGATGTGATGTGGTCCCAACGTGTCCCCTGCCGGTCCCTCAAGCTAGCAGCAGTGATTCCATCTGGGAAAGGAGTCATAGGACTATTGGAGAGGCTTACCCTTCAGGGGCCTTCAGTGACACCCTTTTAATGATTTTTTGGGATAATTCTGGAAGACCCCTTCTTATGATTTTTTGGGCTTCAGACTGGATAGCTATCATGGCTGGTGGTGGGTTTTTCTCCCTCCGAGTCGATGGTTGCTTTCTGGGAGAGCAATTGGAGTAGCCACTCGGACTCCGAGGTGCTTTGCAGCTGCAGGTAAGGGTCACTGTACATAACGCCTCAAGCTCGCAAGGGTCACGGCACTGAAGAGGGAAGCTCAGGACGGGGAGCTGGACTCTTAACATCTTAAGAGGAGGGAGTGATTGTTTATTAGGACCATCTTCTGGAAGATGGTTCTCTTTTAAAATTACTCTTAACATCTTAAGAGGAGGGAGTGATTGTTTATTAGGACCATCTTCTGGAAGATGGTTCTCTTTTAAAATTCAAAATGTAAGATAAGAAAACTATTTATGATTTTTTTTTTCTTTATTTTGACATGATCGTCGTTATCAATGAAATTTTTTCAAGAAAAATATTTCTATCGAAGGCTGATGGGTTGCAAGTGATATCGATTTTTTTTTCAGTACCTTCCCCCCCCAAAAAAAAGTGGTTATAGGCTTATAATCTAGAATACGAGTGTCCCGGGACCAAAAAAAAAAAACTTCTTAAGTTTATTTTTTATTTTAAAATTTGGTGCAGAATTTCGATGTGACCCTGAGGCAAAAGTTGTTCAGTTTATTTTTCTGCATAACATTTTGTGTTTGTTTTTTTTTCAGTT